ATTGTTCTGAATCTTATCATACTGTGACATTTAATCATATAATCAGTAAATTTATTCTTATTAAACTGCGGTTTTTAATTTTAATACAACTTATACTATTTTCGCATTTAATGTCTATAAATTTACAGATAGAAAAATCTGTAAAATTATAGATGGTCCATAAATTTACAGACTGTCCGTAAATATCATGAAATCCTAGACCTGCATAATTATAATTTAAATACAACTGGTATTACTTTTTAAATATTTTCATCATATCTTTTATTGCTCAATCTATGTTGATTAACAATATGTTATGTTCTCTTCTGTTCTGTAATATAAATAATGCAAAGCCTCAAAGCGTGCTCTTTCAAGTATGAAATGGGGGAAGTTGGTCAAAATAATAATTTATTTTTATTTTATATTTTCCATTTAAAGCAGCACGCCTCCAGATTCATTCTAATTTTCATGAAAATTTTGAAAATGTAGTTAAAGGTAAAATATTGTGAAATGAACAAAGAAAGTACTTAACACATTACAATCAGCACTTAAAATCCACGTAAATTACCAAAAAGAGGTCAAAATATGCATAAATAGCCCCTACTGCGTTAGTAACGCAGTAGAAATATGGTGATAAATACTACAAAATACAGTCATTAATTGCACATAAGATATAAATTATCACTTGAATCTTTATTTTGTTTACTTTTCTCAAAGAATTATTATGGTTTTTCCAAGTTTAATTTTCTTGAAATATTTTGGGTCATCTGGAGGCATGCAGCTTTAAAAGTGCCATTCAATATTTTTTGCACTGCATCCGTTTATTCTGGTTCCCTGTACTAATTTGGTTCTCACAGAAATGCGCAGGAGATCAGTCTACACATCCGTTTTCAATCAGTATTCCTTGACTGTTATCCTTTTTTTGTAAGTCGAAAAGTTGCGATTGATCATAATAGACCCATAATTTTGCAGTACTTACGGCGAAAGTTTTCATAACCATCACTATCTAGCAGGTACTCCTGTTAAAATGTTGCCATTTATTGATGACTAGAATTACCAAGCGGATGGTAATGCTTTTAACTTCAATTTCAAATATCTTTCATAATCTGTTCCAACAATTAATTTTGTCAAACTACAGCAAAGACAATTTGATTTGGTCCACTTCATTGAAAGTGGTACTGTGAAACGCCGAAGGGCGTAAGTCTATTGAGTACTGTCAAAGCATGCCCACGCTTTCTGATTAACAGCTTATGTTGCATAATTTCCTGGGTTTTTTTTCCCACTAATAGGGATTTATGTTTTGACGAGTTTAAAATATCTGGGTTTTTTAAGCACTAAATGAATTGTAAGTACATCAGATTTTCTTATTCGGAAATTAAAGCACATTGGTGTTGATGCACAAAAAGCTTCTGCGGAACTCCCTGTGATATCTCTTCTTAACAAAGATAATTTCAAACAATACACTGCCAACTTCTTCAATTTCTATAGTAATTTCCTCCTTTAACAATCTATATCCTTAAAGGTTTTTAAATATAGGGCCGAGTTAACTGGTGTGAAGTTGGCTTAGGGCCAAGTTGACCCTTTACCATCAAAGGGATGCTGCATCATAAGTTACTTTGTAATTGTCAATTTTTTTTATGGAGAGAAAACGTCAAAAGCTTTTGCGTTTATTTTTATTTAACTGATTATATAACTATCATGAAATCCAGGACCTGACTGTTCAGACCTGAATTTGACATGATGGCGCAAGAAGCTGTTGATAAGCACATCATTTTATTTCCGTTGCTCAGTCATACAAACCTGGGGCCCCATTTAGTCATGTTTATCATTATGTCAGGTATTTTTACCTGAAATAAACAGTTCCAAGAACAAAAATATATTTAACTCTACTTGCATGAGGTTTTAACAGTGTTTGTATTTTATTATTTATGGCATGAAAGCTCTTTATGACTAAGCCACATTTTGCTTATGATACATCTATTGTTTGTAAAAATCTTGCCATTTATAAATTTCAGACAAAATGGATCAGGTTATGCAACTAGTTGACCCAGCAAAACAATTTGCCAAAGATTCTCTAAGATTAGTGAAAAGATGTACCAAACCAGACAGAAAAGGTAAATTAAATTTTTTACTCATTCCTTTCCCAATGAGTATGAATGCTAAAGGGAGTGATTACAGTATCATTAGTAGAGTGTTAGTTGGGCAAAGTCTGTATCAGACCTTTTTTCTGCATATTTGAAATCTTAAAACAGTGTACAAATTCAAACCAGCACAAATTAATGTCATAAAATTAGTGAGCTAAAGAAACTACTTGTGCAATTTCATCAAAACTTAGGGGGAATGATCAATACCATATCTAGTTGTGCATCTCATCAACATTTTTCGGTTCATTGATTTTTTGTCAGAGTTTTGGTCTTTCATTGAATTTAATTTTAAGATATCAGACATTCTGAAAAGTATTTTGACATTACTGGACATTATATATTATCCTTTCCTTTGTCATGATTTGTCTGCACTTCATTATTCATAAATAATTTAACACCAACCCTTTCAACTGATGCAATATTCTTTGAATGATAATCTTTAAAAAAAAATATTTAGCCCAGGCTATAGTTATTCTTGGCAAAAAACCTTAGTTGGAAATTTAATACTCCAAATTCAAGTTGGAAATTTAATTGTGGTATTTTCATACACAAGTTCAAAAATGGGATATAGTACATCTGCATCATGCTGAAAATTCTTATCTGATTATCAGTTGGCATTTAAAAAAACAAAGACAAAATTTCAAATCTTCAGTTGAAACTTGTAAGTATGTTCAACACATTGGAAATCATGCATAATATTGCATATATTACAAGAAAAGCCTTTTTATTATTTGTTTCTATAAACAAAAATACTTAAAGGAACTCGTTCCACTGAGGTTTTTTGACATGATTAGACTTGGGCACTTCGTTTTTCCTAAATAATTATTCAAATTGGAAAAAACGACCCAAAATGAAAAGCGTTTAAACGCTTTTCACTCAAATTGGACTAAGAAAAGCATGAAAATACGATTTTCAATTTATTATGCCCACTTCGAAGAATATTGTTTTGCTAATGCCGGTCTGTCTGTCGGTAGACCAAATGTTAGGTTTCAGAAGATATTGGTCACTTATGATGAAAGAAAACTGCAATGAGTATTTAATAAAACAAAAAAAACAGTGGGGGAAATCTGGGGACTTTTATTATTGTCAGGTATATGGAGTAAAGGTCACAGGGCAGGGGAGGGGATGGGCCTACAAGTAGTAGTATGACAAAAATCTTAACACACCAGTAAATCTTGGAATGATTCAAATAAGTACAGCATTAACTGGGCTAAAATTTAATTGGAAAAAAGCAATGATTTTTAGCTTAGCACATTACATGCTAAAAAAAAGTATATAAATGACTTCTCACTTTGATTTGATACTGATAGCTTTATTTGTTTATTAGCTCGACTATTCGAAGAATACGAGAGCTATTGTAGTCGCGTCGGCGTCGGCGTCTGCGTTGGTTAAAGTTTTTTGTAAAGTCAAATATCTCAATCATTACTTGAGATATTCAATTGAAACTTACAATACTTATTTATAGTAACAAGGTACATCAGATTGACAAGTTGGATAACTCTGCCTACAATATTGACAGAATTATGCCCCTTTTTAACTTAGAAATTTTGGTTAAAGTTTTTTGTAAAGTCAAATATCTCAATTATTGCTTGAGATATTTAATTGAAACTTACAATAATTATTTATAGTAACAAGGTACATCAGATTGACAAGTTGGATAACTCTGCTTACAATATTGACAGAATTATTTGCCCCTTTTTAACTTAGAAATTTTGGTTAATTTTTTTGTAAAGTCAAATATCTCAATTATTGCTTTAGATATTCACTTGAAACTTACAATACTTATTTATAGTAACAAGGTACATCAGATTGACAAGTTAGATAACTCTGCCTACAATATTGACAGAATTATGCCCCTTTGGAACTTAAAAATTTTGGTTAAAGTTTTTTTGTAAAGTCTCAATTATTGCTTGAGATATTCAATTGAAATTTAAAATACTTTTTTATAGTAACAATGTACATCAGTTGCAAAATTGCATAATTCTGCCTGCAATATTTGCAGAATTATTTGCCCCCTTTGAAACTTAGAAATTTTGGTTAAAGGTTAAAGGTCTTCAAAGATATTTACTTGAAATTTACACATGCACTTAGGGGTCATAATTGGAGGGTCATGAATTGTCACTGACCAAGTTCCATAACTCTTGTTTGCATTAAGGCTGATTCATATCCCCTTTTCTACTTAGTCTCTTGGTTAATGTTTACATGCAAGTTTTACATATCTCAATAACTATTAAAGATATTTTATTTAAAACTTCACATATGCATTTAGGGTCATAATTGTAGGTCACTGACAAAGATCCATAATTCTATCTTGCATTTAGGCTGATTTTTCTCCCCTTTTTCAACTTAGAAATTCATGGTAAAGATTTGCTTGTAAGCTGTTATCTCAATTACTACTGAAGGGTTTGTGCCTTTTTTTGGGACAGTTTTATGCATTCATAATAATAAAGCAGTGATTTACTTGATAAAACATCTTAATTAGAAGCTTTTGTACCTTTTCTGTCAAATTTATGTATTCATAGGTAATTAGTATTATTATACTCAATAAAACACCCTTGTGACATTACCTTCTGAATAGTCAAGCCAATACTGTATAATTAGACTCTCTCTAAGGCCTATAACATGAATTTATAAAAAAAAATTAGCCCTTTTGTGATCTTAAAAAATTTAACATTATTAAGGCTCTTTTACTATCAAGCACTTAGAATAGTCGAGCGTGCTGTCCTACCGACAGCTCTTGTTTTGAAGCACAAATCTGTCTTGTTATAAATATTTTTTTTGGAAAATGTTTGTTTAATTAAATAAAACTTCCTTTCATCCTTGTATTGTACTGAAATCACTAATGTATAATTTAACAGTTAAATATTGTGATTTTTTTACAGAGTTCCAAAAGATAGCCATGGCCACTGCAATAGGGTTTGCCATCATGGGCTTTATTGGATTCTTCGTTAAATTGATCCATATACCAATCAACAACATAATTGTGTAAGTATTAGGAGGTTAAAAAATAGAAAATATCTTAATTGTTTAATTGTTAAAAAGTATATAAACTTCTTTAAACATATTTAGCAAAATCGAACCCCTCGCTCTTAACCTGTATGTTATAACAAGTATGAACAAGTAATTTTCTTGAAGTCTATAGATAGGTTGTTGAAATACAATAATTTTCTGGTAATTCACTATATTTAATGCTTTTATTCTGTACAATCATGTTGTAAGTTAGCTTACGGAAGATTGTTAGTTCTACCACAGTCAGTCAAGTTGGACTGCCTCTGTGGTCAAGGGGTTAGAGTCGATGACTTCTAATCCAGTTACCTCTCTGGCGTGGGTTTGATCCCCGGGAGATGCAGGTAGTCTAGTACTGGTGTAACTCATTAGGAACTATGGTTAGGAAAGTATCTGCCTAAATGACTGAAATACTGTTGGGAAAAGGCGTAAAATGAAACAAACAAACCAAAAATAATGCACAAAAGGTCCTCCTCTGCCCGTAAAGCTGGAAAGTGGCCATATAACTTTTACTATGTTGGTTTTACTTAAAACTTGGAATACATAGGGAAAAAAAAACTTATTTGTTAAAAAATTTGCTGAATAGTCATTTTCTTTTCTATTTTCAGTGGGTCATGATTGTGTCAGCCGAGTGTGTTTCGTCTCCATAGTCATCATATTTCATCAAACTTTTCCATACTCTCATTCAAAATACCACTTGAAACATGGATTCTGCATAAAAAAATAACTGGTTTTATAACAGCTATGTGCCACAACACTTCCACATACATCATGTTTTTTTTTGTTAATTTAAAAAAAAAGTTATTGAAAGAAACAAAGTTCTTAAGATGTAAACGAATGTTAAGATATTCAGGAAGAAAGAAGTATTCAGTACTTGTTTTTTTTATTATTTTATTTAGAAAACTGTATATTTATTGTAAATTTGTGTTCTAAAAATAAAAGTTTTATCAGACAATTTTGTTTGTCAAATTTCTGGTGAATTTCATTGCATGTTAAAGCTTTGATTGATTGTTTTCCTTTTTCTGGTCGTAGTTTTTTAGCTTGTCTGTTTCAAAGATGAGAAAGTCAAGCTATTATGATCACTGTGTGGCTTTTATGTCCTGGTCATCATATAACATAATGATGATCATACAAAAACTATAATGTAGCCCATTACTCAAACAATTTAAAATATATCATGACTTGTTATGAAACTTGGAATGCTTATCATGATCAGAGGCAGTTGTAAGACAAGGGCGTAATTCTGAAAGCTACATTTTTGGAGTTCTGCCCCTTAACTTGGAATTTTTGTCAAAATTGCCTGTTAAGTTTAATAATTTCAAAACAACATTGGAATACTTCTTTATCTTGACAATGGTTTAATTATGTAAACCATGCAGTTTGGAGTAATGCTGCATTGTAACATAGAATTTTTGTCAAAATTGCTTATTTATTTGAATGATTTGAAAGATATCAACATGAAACTTGGGAAACATATCATGAAAAGGCACAGTTTTATAACAAGGAACATTATTCTGAAAGCAATTTAGAGATATGCCCTTTTTTAGCTCACTGACATGTACCTTGCAAAAGACGAAAGCAATTAGAACCGATAAACTGTTTGACAGCCAGCCCAGGAACAATGCTGCTTTATTATGCTCCCCGAAGGAATAGCATATAGTCGCCGCCTTGTCCATCTGTTTGTCCTCAGAATAACTTGGAAAACCCTTGAACATAATTTGCTTAAACTGCACATAGTGGGTACAGTGCAGTGCCAAACTAGAAATGTGTCCATAGGACACGGATGCCCCCACACGTCACTGTTCTGTCAATCTTATGGCTCTAGGTCAAATATTTTTTGGAATACATGTGCCACAAGTTGAAAACTAAAAATCAACAGAGGGCCATAATTCTGTTAAATTTAGTCGCAGCAAAAATTCCTTCCTTTACTACCATCTACACATTAAGGTTGTTAATCCCTGGAAGTTTAAGCAAAATCTGCCATCCGGTTTAAGAGGAGTTGCGTTCACAAAATTTCTACATAGTATATTGTGAAAAAATCAACAAAGGGCCATAATTCTGTTAAATTTGGTCGCAGCGAAAATTCCTTCCTTTACTACCATCTACACATTAAGGTTATTCATCCCTGTAAGTTTAAGCAAAATCTGCCATCCGGTTTAAGAGGAGTTGCGTTCACAAGATTTCGGGACGGACGGACAAGTGCAACGCTATATGCTCCCAAATTGTGGGGGCATAAAAACAATAACTCTATTTTACCCCGTTTTTGAATTATCATAGCTCTGAAACCATAAGAGGTATCAACAAGAAAATTTGTAGGTAGATAGATCTCATTAAATAGAAGTGCAGTGCAAAATAACAATAACTCTGCATTGTCTAACTTTGAAATTATTATTATCCCCCGCAGATGGAATCGGGAGGGCATTGTCCATCCGTCCGTCCTAATTTGTTTCCGCACTAGTTCTCTGCAACTACTGGCTGAAATTCAACAAAACTTTATGGGAATTATCAATATCAAGAAGAGATGCGCATATCGTCGGCTTGTTCCAGTCAGACACTTTAACTCAGAGTTATGGCCCTTGATTAGTTATGCACTATGCATATAGAACATTATTCATTTCCGTGCTTCTTCTCTGCAACTACAGGCTGGAATTCAATAAAACTTTATTGGAACCATTAATACCAAGAGGAGATGTGCATATTGTTGCCTTGTTGAAGTTGTTCAGACCAGACCCTTCATTACAGAGTTATGGCCCTTGATAAGTTATGTAGTATGCATATAGAGCACTATTGCTATTTTTTTGCAACTTATATATTGATTGATTAACAAAACTATACTGAAACAAAAAAGAAACTTTCTCCAAGTTTGAATGTAAATATGTTAGGACAGTTTTTCAATCCTTTTGAAACTCGATTTTTACGTTGAATAAACATATCGGGCTTTTATACGGGAATTAGCTGACCGATTTTGCAAACAAAACGAGTTTTACAAGCTACTACATGTATATATGTGTGTACATCTAAGTGGTACCCTTGAACAACTGGCACATACTTTGCGAAAGTTTCTTTTTTGGTTCAGTATATATGGCAACCATGGATACAAAAAGGCAATTCACATCTCATTTTGCATGCCCAGATATTACTTTTTAACATAAGAGTTATGGCTCTGTTATTGCCCTGAATATTTATCATGTACAAAGAATATTACTGTTTATGCCATGATAAATAAAGCCTTATGTCTTCAGTTGCTGTGTTAGTAATAACTAGTACTCGGTGGGGGATATAAACTCAAAGAATTTGCTTGTTATAATTCATTTTTACACTTTGAACTTTGTCAGGGACATAACTCTAATACTATTAAGAGATATCAACATGAAACTTTGTAGGCAGACAGATCTCATTGTGTAGAAGTGCATTGCAAAAGAACCATAACTCTGCCTTCCCTAATTTTGGAGTTATTGCCCTTTGTTTATTTTTCACTTTGAACTTTGTCCGGGACATAGCTCTGAAACCATAAGAGGTGTCAACATGAACTTTTGTAGGTATATATATCTCAATAAATAAAAATGCAGTGCAAAAGAACCGTAACTTTGCCTTCCTTAATTTTGGAGTTATTGCCCGTTGTTCACTTTTGCACTTTGAACATTGTCCAGGACATAGCTCTGAAAGTATCAGAGATATGAACAAGACATTTTGTAGGTAGATAGATCTCGTTGGGTAGATGTGCAGTGCAAAAGAACCATAACTCACTGCCTTCTCTAATTTTGGAGTTATTGCCCTTTGTTCATTTTTAAACTTTGTCCAGGACATAAATCAGACACTCTAATAAGAAATATGAACAAGACACATTGTAGGTAGATAGATCTCATTTGGTAGAAACTAGGCCACACAGTCGAAATATGGAACTACTTTGTTAACACTCTACATGTTACAATATCAGCTGAAATATATTGAATATTGGTCAGAAAGGCTGTTTAGAGGGTTTCTTTATCGCTCTACAAGGTACATTTTTAGCCCGAATATCCTGACAATTTGTCAAGGTTTTTGGTTCCTGGTTTGTTCGTTTGTTTCTTTTTCTTTTTTTTTTTCTTTTTTGTTAAAACAAAATACTACTTTGTTTACATTTTGCTACTTTGTGATTCAGACTACATTTTTGTACTTCCTTCTGGTGATATTAATAAAACATACAAAATTCATTGTAAAACCTTTATAATTCAATATGGTTTTATTTGCCATGAAATGCCACCAGCCCTAAATATAAACAATAAGGGAAAAAACATTTGTAGTGCATGTCTATGGTATTTACGTGGCTGAAAAAGAATTGCATGGGAAACTTGTTTTACATTCTAAAAGATATGCTGTACATGCATTCTTTTAATGTATCTTTTTTGTTTAATATTTTTTAACTAAGTCTCTCTGGATAAGTCTGAGTTCCCTGACAAAAAATATAACTTCGTATACATTTTGTTAAAGCAAATCTGGTAGAATCTAATATCTCGCTCGAACAGCGAAAGTTAGACAGCGTATGTTTTTTAAATGTAGTTTTTTGTTTTTGTTTTGGGACACAGTATAGGTCATATCGCGACGTTCCAGCATTACTGGTGGAGGAAGACCTCAGGTGCCATTCCGTGCATTATTTCAGGCACGAACGGGCACCGGAGTAGAACCGCCGACATTCCGTAAGCTAGCTGGATAGCTTCCTCACATGGGAGAATCCAAAGTCCCGGTCGGGATTCGAACCCACAGCGGTAAGGGGCAAGTGGTTTGAAGTCAACGACCTTAACCACTCGGCCGCGGACGCCCCTAAAATGTAGTTAATGTATATGTAGTTAGTATAGATAAGTAGGGTTAATTTTGTAAAGTTTATACATGTACGTTAATGTCTTAATTAAGAGATGAGTTACTATCCGCTAGTATTGATTATTGAGCACAATCTTCCATTGCGTTTTGACAGGTACTTTTGTATAATTGCTAAAAGGCAGAATATAGTGTCCAGCTTGTGTCTCATCGATACAGCATTTCTCTCTGTTGATTACTAAGAATTTTCATAAATAGTATACCAAAACTATTTAAAACAGAGATTGCCCTGCAGTTAATCGGGTTATTTTTACGACCCTTTTTGCGAATCGGCGTGGTTAAACTTTAAAACCAGTCAGGTGGAAATTGTCCGGTGGATAATAATAAGTTCAGATACGGTTACTCAGTACATGTACTTGTTAATAGTATATTTAAACATTTCCATACAAGTAAGAGGCTACCTTATGTGTACCTGCGAGTAAGAAAATAAATTGCTTTCGTTTTGCGCATTTCTAGCATCAAATACCTTTTTTTCAAATGCTCCGACAAAAACAAACATGATACTGTGGGATAATAAAAGATAGGATACATGCCTAAAACTGTCCAATAAGTTAAAAAAAAACTAAAATATTGCATTCCCTTCTGCACTTTGCACGTCATACAATTCAATATTTTACATATTGGTCAGTTTTTTCGGCTTATATCTACTACTTATTCTACAAATTTTTGAATGGCCAACGAAAACTGTACTATCATTTGTGCTTCAAGTCAAGGTGAAACCACATCTGCCTGCAAGATCGTAGTGAATGTATTTAATGCAAATAGTATTTGCCGGCCTTCACAAACTCTCCAAATGTTGTTGCGTATTCAGGATATGTACCAATCTCTTTACTTCTCAGAGAATATTTCCGGCGTATATCGTCTTCAAGTTCATTGAAAGATAATTTTGCCTGCAGCAGAGCGTCTGATGATTTTCCCGCCAAAAGATCGTATCGTAAAGACTGTTCTGCCATTTCACAATCCGGAAACATATACATAAGATACGGATTGGCATGAAAGAAATGTGGTAATTTTTGTTCCTCCAAACATACCTTAAGAAATTCAAGAAAGTATACAAGACTCTCCCTAACCCCCGATATCTTGACCTTGTTCATGATAGTGAGATACAGTATACAGTAGAAAGCGATGTGCTTCAGGTGGTAGGATCGTAGAACTGTTACTACTTGTAATGGTGAATTGTTCCGTCTGTATTCTTTCCGTTGACGAAACTCATTCTTCATAATTCGTAAAGCTGTAACGATATAGCTTTGTTCTGTTGAGCCACGTGATGCATCGAGCACGTGTTTCTCGTAGCCAGAGCTGCACATGCGCCACAGGAAACTTGGCTGACAATCATATAAATGTGCTGACGGCTGGTTTTCGGTGAACCATTTGAAAACAGCGTATCTAGGACATTCCATTGTCTTTTGCCAGTCGCTTGGATCAGGCACAACGTCTCTACACAGTTCCAAACCTAAATGAAGTAAGATATCAAACACAAAACAGTTAGCAAGGCATCAGTTACAATGGAAATGGCTTACGCAGATGCCACATATACATTGTACAAAACGTTTCTGCGAGGAATGCTCCAATGCCGTTGGGATTAATCAATCTCTTGCACAAAAGCTTTGACGAGTGTGATTACGTATCAAATTTACTATATTATCGACACTTAAAAGTGCATGAGGATAATAATGTTAAAATAAAACAAAATTGACATGTAAAATTAAAATTATATCAATTTTTACGTCTTAAAAAGAAACACCAAACAAACAAACAAACAAACAAACAAAATGCAAAAGACAGAAAAGCTGCTTATATGACTGCAGCTTGCTTAGTATATTACTTTGTAAATTGATTGCACAACATGAAATTTCTCCAAACATTCCCATATGAAATACTGTATCCATAAAACAGACTCATCTTGTTTTCAAATCATATAGGTCGTAGTCAGTCAATTGAGTAATACATTTGCAGAAATATCATCGAACAAGATGAATTATTTAAAAGTTTGCAGTGTGTCCAGTTATTTTAAAGAAGCCTTATACTATATTCACGGTGTGTATCCATATCGATTCCCTCTGCGAAATCTACTGAAACGGCACCCTTTTGCACATGCGCGGTCCACCGGCGATTGGCATGAATCCAATAATTTTTCATTCCTAATATACTAGTAACAAGAGATATATCATATGGAAAAGAAGAATACAAAATGTACTTTGGAACACTATAATGTCATAGCCATGTCTTTTTTTTTAAAAATAAATGTCTAATTGTCAAATACCGCAACTACAGAAGAAGAAAAAAACACCTACAGAATATCGCTGTGTTGCCTCGCTCACCACCTCGGTGTATGTTGTGGGTTTTAAATGGACCAGTGGCTTGATGATGTACAAACCGTACATGTTAAACGTATACATTTAAGTAATATCGTAAGAGTGCTGCTAACGAATAGTATGGATTATTTGTAATATTTCGCAAGAAAACCCACTATATATATGCTTTTCGATCCGGCAGCGGCAAAGATTAAGTATTTTCTATTACTTTTTATGTATCACATGGTTTTCCAGCACCCTGTTTTTAACATTTTCAATATTCCTCTTCTATTCTGTTTCTTTACCTTTCTGACTTTTTTGACAAGCAGACATGTCTACGTCCCCGCGAGGGGTTTGACATTATTGAAAGATTGATGGATGGATGGATGGATGGATGGATAGGTGGGTGGCTGTGGTTTGGATGGATGGATGGATAGAAAGATACCCTATTATGACGGTACGTAAGCCAAAAATATAGGATATGACTTTATATGATGTCGGGGTTTGACCGTGATTGTTCAGCTTGGCTTTATTTTTAAAAAATAAATGCATTATGTGTGGAAATATTACTCCAATTCTATTCTACGTAGAGTTATTTTTTCTAATATCCGCAGTAACGCCTTTGCAGCAAAGACATAAAAATCGTTATTGTTTCTTTTTCATGTGATATATCTCATTTCATCTACTGAATTATTCAATTTTATTTCAGTCCTTTGCCGATTTGTTTTCAGCGGATAATAGCCCTTGCATGTGCAAAAAGGATTAATTTCGCAATAAAGGTTGCGATATGGATATGCGCACCGTTTTGACTGAACATTATATGTTCGTTCGGAAATTTCCTAGACTGAGAATATTTACCTGGAACAATGTCTACATCAATTAAAGTGTCCACTCCCGCACTCTGAGACTCAATCCTACTCTCATTTTTCATGAGACTTCGGAAGTGATTGTTGTAGTCAAAATAGCCGGTTTTCTCTCTTAGTCGGATCTGGATATTTATCGATGGTGGATTTATGCTGAACTTTTGAATAGCGAAAGAAAACTCTTGTTTAATGTTAGAGGTGTTGACCCTTTCTTCAATGGAATTTGCAGCTCTCATAACGATGGATTTGAAAACCTTTTCGTGTAAGTTTCTAGAGTTTAGATAGACTGTGCCTTTTTCGCTTTCGAAAGAAAACACACCCTCTCTGTCAAGCTCCGGGTATCTTGACTGGATTTGACCTACTGAGAAACCTACAGGAACAAGAAGTCCAAATTCAGGTAAAATCCAATCATTTTTGTCTTTGATATGGGAAACCTAAAACAGATATAAAAATAAATCATGAAAGAAGTCATCGAAATTTAAATAAAATGAAAACAAAACTCGTGGATTTATACAAGATCGTCTATTTTTTTTTCTTCCATGCAATTATCTTGTCCAGTGTTCAAAAATTTTAGTACCAATACTTTGTAATTTGTCCTTAATATTAAGCCTAAAAATCCATTTGTCTCTCAACTCAAGTGGGATTAGTAATCGGTCACTTGCGAAATACTGGACAGTTTTCGAGGAAAGGCGTTTTTATTATGAATATAAAGGGTGAAATTAGGACTTTCATTTTACTTCGATACATAACGAAAATTGCAGTTCGACACATAAGTGCTTCTTTAAATACAATGAGACATTTAACAGCATAGAACACATGAAGTTATTTCCTAAAAGTGGTCATTCAAAGCCTCTCCATAAATGTTAGAGTTTTATTTTGTGACGGGTTATTTTTGTGACTGTTATCTTTGAATGAATTATTTGTATAACACGGACCGCTCACATTATCATCTCTTAAACAATAAGGTCCTACAAAGGTCCTTAGAGTTCAAGTATTTGGATGCAACAAAAATGCCATTGGCTGCAGCCTGACTGCTTACAATTAATACAATGTATATTCAAACACAAGTTGCATACATATATATTCTTTGTACATTTAAGTTACTTATTCTTAGATATAGATTTCTAAAATAATAATCTATTATAACATTTAATAATAACAAGTTTGCATTGCGTTAAGCGTGCATTTTTTTTATTTAAAGTAGATACTATATAATACATATCAAATAGAGGGTTTTACTATTTGCAATTCTTATTTTGTTTTATAAAACGAGTTTCTTACATTAAATGTCATGCCTTTTATATCAAACAGCAGAAGAGCATCGAATTCGTCGGCCTTGGATACCTTTAATCCCTCCCTGGAACTTCCTTTAATTAAATCAGACAAACATATATTATATGACAATTATATTGAAATCAAAGTACTGAAGTGCAGATGGACTGGCTAACTTAAATACTACAGGTCTCACTCACCACGTAACGTATTGTTTGTATGTCTTTATTTAACACTAGGCCTATATCATCGATCTGGTTATAATGGATAATTATGCGTAAAAACAAATAATTTTTTACTTCTTTGAAAAGGGCAAGCATTAATTTTATAATGTTTAAAATGGTTTTAGAGCATGTAAGGGGCTTGGTAACTGAAGAAAGTCGCACTAAATTTGTAATTATTTGTCATAAAAATTTCAAAATGAAAAAAGTGATATTTTGACTTCCATACAAAATACTTTATCACTATAACTGCCAAAAAGCTACAGATGGTTCAGCTAACAGGGCAATGAGTAACGTTTTCAAACTACATGTATAAAAGTACATAAACAATTAAAAAGCTTTTGAGAAATGAAAAGAAAAGCATTTTTATGGCATAGTGGGTCTTTAATACAGTACATGTATGTGCTGCCTTAAGAGAGAATGGAAGGGAATCTTGTCAGTTTTGCATAAGAATGATCATTTTAATAACCGATAACTTAGTTTAGTTTAGAAAGCTACATTTTAACAAAAAGAGTATTTTATTATTAATTACTCTCGGACAGGGGATATACACATTTCATAAAATATGCATTAGGTTCAATCTAAGAAAAGAAAAAACAAGACTCGTCTTACTGCTTTCTAGTTACCACGGTGCATATACCACGTGACTTAACTCAGATGTGCGTAGCGCAGAAAACCAATACAAAAGACGGTCCAGGTTCTATAACTCTTCAATTATTTTTTCTTACAGAAAACCAACTATACAATAAGCTCTCGTAAGGTCTGTTGTTATACTTTGGTATCCCGAAGTGTAATCGGTGCTCAAGTAATACTCAATGCACCTGAACAAAAACAGGGATGTCATTGATAAAATAGGTAAAATTCATCATGACTAAACTGTACCTTGTCTAATAAATTTATTGATGTGTAGTCCAGAAAAACGGGTTGCTTCTGTCTGGAGTTCTTCTAGAAACATATCCAGTACAGAATCTACTGCTCCTGTCGCCCTGTCCCAATCTTTCCTCTTAATATCAAGATTATCTGTAATTTGAATTTATGATCTGACAACCATTGATAGTTTCTATTACAAAGTGTTTAGACAACCATTAATAGTTTCTATTACAAAGTGTTTATCTATTCGTTCTATACTGAATTCGGCGTAAACTTAGTTTCTATAAATTCGGCCATCTACTGACATCTCCTTCAATACCGTGCAAACACATTTTAATAGCGGCTAATCAATTTTGTTCCTTGTAATAAATCGACGCTTATTTGATCATGTTAAGATATGGAGAGTAGCGAAAAATGCCGTATGAAGAAACCGGGTGACTTACACTGATTATACATGTATATATATATATAGTATCTACGCTGTGATAAGTGTGGTATGGTGTCTATGCCAGCATATTACAGTTAAACCTGTTTTAATGAGACTCTCTGACTGATTAAAAACTGCATATATAAACTCTCTCAATCATTTATCTATTTCACCGTTTGTTTTTAAAAACTATATTTTTTTCTTTTTTACTTTACTTGAAGGAAAGGCTGCAGTTTCAAATATAAACACGTTTGGCATTTAATCTTATCAAATGTTTTTCAATTTTCAACATGAATAAGGTTGGTACATCTATTCTTGGGATTCATATTGTCAAGACAGGGAAAGTGTTTTTAATTTTTGCATATAATACTAAAGACTTAGCAATCTGATTTACCCCTTCATACAAATCAGACTTCTACAATAGACAAATTTTAAAATTAAAAAAAATCCAGCCTTTGTTGAATCACAACACGCACTTTGAATGAAATAGAGAGTTTAGCAGTGATATTGTCAGCTTAAGCAAAATTTCATAACAATGATAAAAACATTTTTCGGAATATTTGCACCCAAAATGAAAAAAAAAACACTGTAATTGTCAAGTAGACTCACCAATATTCGCCATCAGTGCTCTAGGTTCATCAATTCCCCAGGTGGCCACAGGAATTCTCCATTCATTGCAGCGATCACCGATGGACAGATGTGCCAATCTTTTAGAAATGTCCCAACCTGATTTTCCTGGCGTTGAAATCTGGATTTAGACATAAACAGTATCATGACAGAGCAAATTTTACATTAATTTCACAGATTTAGTGAAGAAAACATGCATAGACTAAAGAATCACAAGTACGTCAGTCATTTGCCAACGTTACACCAGATCTCTTCCCTTTGTGGTGGATATAGCTGTGGAAATGTCTATGTTTGTATAAAACCCTTTTAACTAGTATCTCAACTTCAATTCTAAAAGAATTTAACAAATTACTGTATAAATGTAATAAATGTTTAAATGTACAAATACATAATATATATATACATGTACTTATCAGATACCAAGCTCAATAATTGTTTAAAAATATATTCAAAGACAATTAACTACTAGTAATTATCTTGCAGATCAAATAAATTTAATCATAACTATTATACTTATGCATGCATATATCTGTTAAATCGGGGCGTCATGGCCGAGTGGTTAAATGAAGGTCGTTGACTTTACACCACTTGCTGTACATGCTGTAGGTTCGAATCGCGACAGGGACTTTAGATTATTTTATGTGAGGAAGCTATCCAGCTTGTGTACGTCAATGGTTCTACTCAGATGCCTGTTCGTGTCTGAAATAACGCACGAACGGTGAATCCGAGGTCTTACTCCACCAATTAAGCTGGAAAGTCGCCATATAACATTATACTGTGTTCGTGCGACGTAAAACCAAATCAAAAGAAAAAAATGTTATATCATTTGTAAATTAAAAATAGTATAAATGATATTTTATATTTAAAAAAGTGTTTATTTAATGTTGTTGATTTTTGTGGGTTTTAAAGGCCACATTTTAAATCAAGATATGTTTTGTATACGGTTGTATATCTTCTTAGATAAAGGCATTAATGAACAATAAATAAAGGCATTAATGAACAATAAATACAGGCATTTATGAACAATAAATAAAGATAAAAAATAAACTGTAATTATTATTATTATTATTATTATTATTATTATTATTATTATTATTATTATCTAACGCTGCAATTTACAACCAAATTAATACCTCATCCGATCAATAATTTTGTGGTGAAACATTTTGAAATAATTTTTGCCAAGTGAAAATAATGATCACTATGGCCATCAATCTCCCACGCAGTGATCTCCCTTTACATTATTACGTAACTGGTGCGCGGAGTTTGTATGACACTATAACAAGTATAAGAACTTACCTCTCGAAATGAAGCCATATTTACGAGCGCCTTTTTTACTAATTTACTAATGAACCGTTACAACAAACACTGTGCTGCTTCTGAAAATGTCAGATACAAACAATGACGTCCTCTTCATAACACTATGACACTTGAATCAAAACTATATACAGGTTCTAGTATAAGGTCAAAGTTCAATTTAAAATAATTAACATGATGAACAATCATATGATACACTGGAGCAGTTGCCTATTGTATGACACACGCCTCGGTATAGAGAAGTCGCGGATTCGAATCTTTTCTTGGACGCTTTAAAAAAAAAAAATTGAACAGTTAATTTACACTTTATGCCGATGACTCAGTACAACACACAGTTTACTCCAGTTTCTAAAATGAATATAATTTGTTTTTAATCTATACCTTTTAATTATTTATTTTGTTTTGTATCATGTTAAAGGCCCGCAGAAACGTTTGTATTAAGTCATTTAAATGTGGATTTTGTAATCTAACCAAACATTCATCTTAATTGCTTTAGACATGTTCACACAATAGAAAGAGACACGCAACTACATTTGTATTAATGTGATAAGTGGTCCAATGTCCAACTGGCAGCCGATCAATCGATTAGCGTAGATTTTAAACCTTTTTTAAACACACACGCTCTAAAGATTTCGCAACCCTGCACGTTTTGCAACCTGTAAACTGACGATTTTCCCTAATATGAAATGATATATATGGCATTTTGCTTAAAATATGCGGCAGAGAATTATATCATAGGTTATAATACTTTTTCATGCTTTTATATTAATTGCCACGAAAGAAATTTATATGACCTCATTTACTATTATATTTATGTACAAGCAGTAAGGGATGGGCCGAGCAAGATCGTTTTCCACCAAAGTAGCCATTGTGTACTGAACAGAACAGAACAGAACAGAACATATACTTTATTTAGAATGACACAGATTACAATATACAAGTATAATGTAATAACATGTGAACAAAGTCAGTAGACAAAATCAAATCAAATGGGTGTGAAGAAATGACAGTAATATTATGTAATGCAAATAATCTTTGAAGGTATTTTTGTTATATGGGTATTGCAGTAAATAGTTTTATCAAACTGTAAAAGCATAAGAAAACAGGTATAGAGATTTGCACGAAAATTTCATTTTCTTGATGAATGTGTAATACAGCCGCGCGGTTTTATTGGATAACGAAAATCATGATTTGATACTGACCGATAGGGCCTACGCGTGTATATATTGCCAACGTAGTAGAATAAATTGTTTTATGCCTTTATAATAAATGACAATGTTATTGTCTAAATTCGCTGCATTTTCACATTTTAAGCTTAATCAATCATTCATTACAAAAATGAATGATTATACGTACATGAACAAAATTATCTCAGAATCTAGACTGCGAATTAATCAACAAAATATGGTATTAGTCTATAACACGTCATCATTTCTATATATTTTGTTTTAATATTATTAATGCTCTATAAAATCATTAAAATGTTGTAATTTTTGAAGATATACTAAGCTCATCCTTGAGGAAAAATATACAATAATAAGAGAAATTTGTTAAAAATTTGTATGTGGGCAAATTCGTTATTAACAAAAGTTTATTTTACTTCCTGGTTCCTGGGAATACAGTTTTATCCGTATGCAATCAATAAAAATTACGTACTGTTAAATAATACAATATTTCAGTTGTAATTGTCAATATTAAATATTCTTACCCTTTTCACAATGCATATTTGTTGTCTAAAGAGTACCTACTTGAAATAAAATACGATTCCTTATTCGCTTGCTTAAATTTAAATGATCTTCACAATCCGTTCTTAATATGAATTTCAACACTTTCCGTCTATTAAGGCGAACACCCCTAAATTAGTACGGTTGAATAGGAATAGTACTCAAGAGGAACATTTACTAGGTGCACATTTTGAAATTGCTTTTACGTGTTTTAACATAAACTAGACGAAAAAATCAGAAATGCATGGCTTCTGCAAATAGCAAATATTTAAACGTTTGAATGGATGCCAATTAACTGAACTATAAGGCATCAGTTAATCACAGACGCTCAAGCGTCGGAATCCCACCCCCCATGTGATACGCCCCTGTAAACACTCTATCAAAAATATTTTAATATTTAAATACGGATGGGACATCTGTTACAACGATTAAACTGGTTTTCAAACAATTTTTACATATATGAAAAATATACCGTTTACCTTAATGGTAAATGAGAACGGGAAAAAATGTTTTGTTAGTTTAAAAAAAGAAGTTGCTTAAAAATCTATCTGCCTGTCTCTCTGTCTGTCTGTCTGTCTGTCTGTCCATCCGTCTCGAGAAGGAACAAGGGCCATCTAACTGTAAACATAACAAAAGAGGATAATAGAGTTCATTCAGTAACAATAGAATAATGGGCAAATAGGCCTTTATTTAACAAAAGAAAATATCAAAAGAAATGGTCCCTTATTCCATTTCGGGCGCGTTCATCCATCCATCTCGGTGAAGTTAAAATGATCCTAAGAGCTTCCTTGGAATTGCACCTTGAATTGAAATATTAAAAGCTCTTTAACCTCTGCCAATATTGAAAGAGCAGGAGCATTCAAAATAACTGAGTTTATGTAAAATTGGCGTACCATACGACAAAAAGGAACCAGATAGGGACATCACACCCTCGCACGCTTGCCTTTTGATAATACCATAAAAAACAAAGCTCAATCATAAATGAACATGTGAAGGTAATTTCGATATCAAGGTTTTAAAATTTTGATAAACATGATGTCAAAAGTAACCTCAATAATGTCAAAAGTAATCTATCACCTTAAAATTCCCAGGTCGACATATTTTGTCCAAACGAAATTTCCAAAATATACCACGAGTAAACATACGTATAGCTGCTTAATTGCCATTGGTGAGAAAGTATTCCAAACAGATTTAAACATCAAATTCCAGTACAATGACATTGTTTGGAATATTGCGTTTTTAGACGTAGAAAATTTAACGGGGACTCGTTGCACGGTTGTGACCGATCTAACAAAAATACGATATTGCATCCGAAATATCGGTTTGTTGTTCAAAAACGATTTATGTGTGGACAAAATCTTAATGTCAACGTCTAGTGATGTCATTTAACCGCAATTAGGTACATGTATATAGCTTTATATTAATAATGTATGATTTACGTAAACATGACTTTTTGACTTATACGGGAATAGTGACATTCGGCCGATTTGGCGTGTTGTACGGTTTTTACAGTATCCCTTGTCTATATATAATATATACAGTATATATATACGGTATATCTTTTTACACCATCCCAAAACTGTGCCGGGTCCCTGGGATCGTGTCGGGGGAATACCCTTCGGTATATTATATTTTATACAGTAAGCGGGTGCTGCATAATAATTTTGTTCTTGATGATCAAGGCGTGATTATTTTATGATAATTTGACCATTATTGGCATGGCAAATGTGCCAAACGCCTGTGTTTTCCCCCAGGTTTCAACGATTTGCTGGAAAAATATGTAACGCTTGCTCAGAGACTTTGATATATTGCGCAAACAGCACGCTAGTAGAAAAGATCAAACGGTGCTGTTATTATGACTTATTCATTAAAAATTGTCCGAATTATAAAACTCAAGGGTAAGTCAACATGATGTTGAGTTCATACAAACACTATAATAATGTTAGCGGCACTGTATCGAAAGTTTTTTTAAGACCAGAGCGGAGCGATCTCGAAGTTTTTGATCATTAGACGCGGGGACCCAGAACGCAATATCGCCTAATCGGATTCCGTAGCAGTCATGCAGACGTTACTAATTATCGACTCACGGTTTAGTGGAATTGAGGCCTATTGGTGCTTTTCGGTATCAGCATAGAGGTGAGCTATTTTCTGTGTTTGTAGATAGAGCGTCGTTTGATCCACATCATATTATAGCAAGTAATTATCTATTTAGGGCTTTGGGGAAGAAAACACCAATGAAAAGGCTGGCAGGCGCATCCTTAAAGTAACAGTTAGTGTGGGGAAATGTTAAAGCGCAGGCGCGATGAGAGACAGACATAGCCCGCGTTTAAATAAGATGCAATAACGGAAGAATCTCGTTTACTTTGCTATGTTGCACAGATACATACATAGGTAACTGTAATGTTACCTACCGGCTCCTTTGTTAAAAGCGTCTACGTAAATCACTTACGCCGGACCGGGTTAACAGGGTCCGCAAAATGAGATTACCGACGGTCATGTCTATTGTTTCTATACAATAAAAAAGTATTGAAGTCGAGAAAACTCGTGCAACAGGTAAGACAATAGGTCACGTCAAAATATCGCATATGTGGGGAGGGGGGAGTAATGACCAAACTTTGAATAGGGAAAACGGTCGATATATTATTTTAAAGATTAATCGAAATAAAGTTGAGCGCATACGCTGGAAGTACCCCTCATCTACTTAATTCCAGATTATTTGCGAGCCAAAAACGAACTGGCGGATGGAGGTTTTGGTGCTTTCGCCGATATTAATGAGTATGATGACAACGGCACATTAAGCCGTTTCTTTAAAGTTGCTTGTCGGTAACCTAACATATTGCCGAAACCTAGTAATAGAAATGTGCACCGACACACGAGGCTATCGATTTGTACGAGGGGGCGGGGTAGCCCCCGATAGTGATAAAAGTCAGTAATGGCCAACGTGTTTTGGTTGTTCTTCTCTGGTGTGAGTCATAGTCAGACATGGACAGCACGGTTCGCCTTGTGTGTCATAATATAAAACCCCGAGAAAATAATAACCAATGATACGACGATTGAAGATGGATAGTCTCTGCCCCTTCCCTTTCCCTGCCAGTCACAGAATAGAAACCCCGGCAAAAATGAACCAAAGTCCACGTGCATATCTGGAGTCGCGGTAAGCTGATGACCTGCAGATGCCAATTCCGCAACTGTGCATGGTAATGTTAGAACGAGTTTAACCTTTGACACTTTTTCAACAGAAAGCGTTAGGGAGTGATGGTTGCGGCCGGTTTTGTGGGGGCGGTGGAGGTGTTTCGTGGTCTGAGGTTGCTGGGGATCGTCGGTGCTGGTCCCCTAAAGCTATGATACAAGATAGCTTCATAAGTAACTAGCTTTCGAATTATTCCACAACTATCTGAATTTGCCATCCCCTGCCATAAGTTTAATTCTGCATTAATAGGATATATAGCGAAGATTGATACTTGATTGTGCATATCGACTCAAAAGTACAACTTCTGCATCTTTTTCCAAATAATAGTACTTTCATGAGAGATAGTTCATCCTAAGTATAAGACCGTGTTTTAAGTGCAATCTTTTCCCGAGTGTATTCTTAAGATAGTGACATTATCATTGTAGATTTGGAGTGTATACCGCAAGGAAAGAATACGGAACTTTGCAGCTCAGTGCAACGCGGTTGCATTAACAATGGTGGATGCCTACTATGAATGGCTAGTAAGAAATAACGAAAGAAAATTTCTCAAACATGGATGAAAGTGTCTAAAACATTTAAAATGCCCATCGATAAAAAAACAACCAACAAAAACCCAACTTAACAATAACGGTGTAACGTACATGGTATTAACTAATATTGTATTCGATAGAAACCCCGTTGAAAAATAATCGTATATTTTCATTTTATAAAGAAATTGAGCTCTGATCGATCTATTTCCATGAAATTGGTAGTTATAGTAATAAAGATAAGTGTGTCGCGTTTTTATGATTAGAAACATTTTTATCTTCCTCAGTATGTGTTTACTATATTAATAAGGTTATGTACTCATAATAAAATAATGATTTCTTTACCGTTTCCCTACTCGTCACAAGTCTGTTTTCAGTTCCTTTCTGTGACCAACCACAAGTACATTACCTAATGAACCCACGAACAAAATACTGAAGAAATATTCAAATACACCTGATTTGGTGACGAATGAATTACAAGAGCGTAGCGGGAGGGTATCTTGCTTGGCTTTGAATGGCCTTGATCTTAAAATGATAAACGTACACTAAGTAATATGTGTTCTTGTGAGTATATTAATAAATACTGCGCTAAAAACGAATGTATGGATAGAATAAAAAAAAGAGCAGTGTAGTAAGATAGTTACCGGCACGCGAATAGGTCGTGCATAGTATTTACAGACCGGGTGGCGACTTTGAAGACGAGGAGAGCGTACGTAACGTTACTATTGCAAGTCCACAATCGATATACTGTAGCCTAGCACATTCACTACATTGTAGGCCTATATACGGGCGAAATCTGTTATTCAATATTCATGAAAAAATTCAACTCGTTTGTCCGTTTAATGTCACATGATGAGTTACGCTAAATAAAAAAAAAAATTTGCTGTACGTTTAGGATAATTATTTAGTGACAGCAGTCAAGTCCACTATAACAGTGTATAACGGTCTTATCGGTTTATTATCTTAAGTCAAGCAGGCTTGCCATATAAATTAAGATATCGTCAAATTATTTTACCAACTGTCACCGTAACCACCGGAAATTGACATTCTTTAAGCAAATAATTAAAAAAATAACGGCAAATACACCCCTCTTTACTATATATAGTATAGAGGGGGTATATTTGCCGTTTTTTTTAAATTATTTCCTTATAGAATGTCAATTTCCTGTGCCGTAACGCAGTAGCCCAGTTGGTTTAAACATATTTTTATTCAGATAATATATACATGTTAATAATTTAAGCAGAAAGGAATTGGACCGAGAGCTACAATAGCTCATATAGTAGTCCTCTCCTTTAACAAAAGCAATATGTTTACATAATACATGGCTTATCATAATTTTAATTAAACCCTATAAAGAAAAAAAAAACGAAGAAAGAATAAAAAAATAGCCCAGTTAAGGTTGTCTGGTAATTTTTCTAGTAAAATATCAATGCATGACAGCCAGGTTCGGGGTGTATTTTTTTTCTTTATTATTATAATAATCATATAAGTAATAGTACGAGGAATAGGTCTGCATATTATTTACAGACTTGGGCCGAGAGAGCGTAGCGATCGAGGTTTTTAAAAGGCCACCGGATCTGTAAATACTATGCAGACCTATTCCAAGTGCGGTAACTATCTTACCTACATGCTTTGTTGTTTTTCTTTCCATACGTCAGTTTTTGACTCGGTATATATTTATTAATATTACTCGCAAGAAACATATTATTTATGTGCTTTATCATGTTTAGGAAGCATTCCAAAGCCATGCAAAGATACCATCCTTTTCGCTCTTGTAATTCATTATTTACAAATCAGGTGTTATTTAAATATCCTCGTGTTTTTCGTAGGGTTTCATTATGTAATAAGGTCAGGTAATGTAATTCTTGAGTTGACATGCCTTGTCGATAAGGCACAGGTAAGATCATTATTTTGATATATGAATACATAACATATTAATAATATATACAAATACTGAGGAAGATAAAAAAGTTATCTAATCGTATAATAAATTGCATGGTAAATGGATGATCAGGCTATTTCTTATGTAATTAAAATATACGATTTTTCAAAGGAAAGTAAATAAATATTAGTAATACATGTAGATTATTCATATGTTTGATAAGATCGCACTAGAATGGAAGCGCAAGTCGTATTCTTGCGAAGAACAGGCGAGTACTGGTATGAAAAAATCCAAATTGTAACTTAAAAAACTGGAAAAAATGAGAAAATTAAACGGCCTTATTCTTAAGATGGACTATATACTCTCACTGAAAGTAATATTTCGGGAAAGAAAGATGCAGAAGTTGACTTTGATTCGATATGCACCAATAATATAATCGTCGTATATATCCCATAATGCAGATTTGTTATAATAATGCAGAATTGTGCAAAATATCAGACATAGTTTTGGAAATAAATAAATAAACAAGCTAGTTCGTTCCCCCCCCCCCCCCCCCCAAAGAAATGTGTACATTTCAAAATTTCTGCATTGTGTAATGCACGAGTTTCTCGACTTCACATATTTCCTATTGTATAGAGAACAATAGAACAAAAACAGGTCGGTATATATTTGCAGACCTGTTAAGCGGTCGGCAAGTGATTTACGTACTAGACCGCTTTTAACAAAAGAGCCAACAGATAAGAAAAGAATATGTTGTATTTTTTCTTGTAAATATTCTAATGTATTATTTTCTATTTTATTCTCATTTCTTTTTATATGCCCGAAAGGGCATATTATGTTATACCCGTTTGCGTCCGTCTGTCTGTCCGTCCGTCCGTTAGAAATTTGGTTTCCGTAGCATAACTTAAGTTCCATTTGGCCCACAATGTTCAAACTTCATAGGATGATTGTCCATATTTGGTAAAAGACCCCTATTGATTTTGGGGTCACAAGGTCAAAGGTCAAGGTCACTATTACCTTGATACTGAAAACAGTTTCCGGAGCATAACTTAAGTGCCAATTGGCCCACAATGTTGAAACTTCATAGGATGATTGTCCATATTTGGTAGAAGACCCCTATTGATTTTGGGGTCAAAAAGTCAAAGGTCAAGGTCACTATTACCTTTAAACTGAAAACAGTTTCCGGAACATAACTTAAGTTCCATTCGACCCACAATGTACAAACTTCATAGGATAATTGTCCATTTTGGGTAGAAGACCCCTATCGATTTTTGGGTCACAAGGTCAAAGGTCAAGGTCACTATTACCTTGATACTGAAAACAGTTTCCGGAGCATAACTTAAGTTCCGTTTGGCTCACAATGTTCAAACTTCATAGGATGATTGTCCATATTATGTAGAAGACCCCTTTTGATTTTAGGGTCAAAAGGTCAAGGGTCAAGGTCACTATTTCCTTAAAACTGAAAACAGTTTCCGGAACATAACTTAAGTTCCATTTGACACACAGTGTTCAAAGTTCATAGGATGATTGTCCATATTGGGTAGAAGACTCCTATCGATTTTGGGGTCACAAGGTCAAACGTCAAGGTCACTTTTACCTTAATACTGAAAACAGTTTCCGGAATATAACTTAAGTTTCATTTGACCCACAGTGTTCAAACTTCATAGGATGATTGTCCTTATTGGGTAAAAGACCCCTATTGATTTTGGGTTCACAAGGTCAAAGGTCAAGGCCACTATTACCTTGATACTGAAAACAGTTTCCGGAGCATAACTTAAGTTCCATTTGGCCTAAAATGTTCAAACTTCGTAGGATGATTGTTTATATTGGGTAGAAGACCCCTATTGATTTTGGGGTCAAAAGGTCAAGGATCAAGGTCACTATATCCTTAAAACTGAAAACAGTTTCCAAGAATAACTTAAGTTCCATTTGGCCCTCAATATTCAAACTTATCATAGGATGATTGTCCATATTTGGCAAAAGACCCCAATTGATTTTGGGGTCACTAGGTCAAAGGTCAAGGTCACAATTACCTTTAAACCAAAAACAGTTTCCGGAGCATAACGTTAGTTCCATTTGGCCCACTATATTCAAACTTCATAGGATTATTGTCCATATTGGGAAGAAGACCCCTATTGATTTTGGGGTCACAAGGTCAAAGGTTAAAGTCACTTTACCTTAATGCTGAAAACAGTTTCTAGAGTATAATTAAAGTTCCATTTGGCCCAAAATATTCAAACTTCTTAGGATGATTGTCCATATCAGGTAGAAGACCCCTATTGATTTTGGGGTCACAGAGTCAAAGGTTAAGGTCATTGTTAATAACTTAAGTATTAATCAACCTACAGCTTTAAAATTTTATAGGATGAACAGCTAATTTCCATTTCTTACAAATGCTTCATCCTTACTAAAAAAACACTTTCGGGCATATAATGCTCCGCCTAGCGATGCTCTTGTTTCTTTTGTTTTCCATGTAGCCATATCTGGCACGTTGATGTAACATTATACTGAATACTTTACGGATATAGAATAATATACACAAATTGTTTCAAGTATAGTCAAGTTGGCACTAAATACTCCTGACATGTACAAGTTCCATGACTACAACATAGTTACACAGGATAAAAATCATTATCACCGGTATATTTAAATTATTATATGTTAAAACAAAACCCCCTTACCTTTATCAGAGACATAGATAACAGAGATAAGCATGCAGCTCCTATATATACCATTGAAATATCACTCATGCCTATCAAAAAAGTGAAAAATTAGGCATTTTGTAGCAAATAAAACTTAATGGATGTACATTTGATCCTTTAATATTATATACCATTTGAAAGGTAAATCTTTTATCTATTGCTGCATGTTAAAATATTGGTAACTTTCCATGCCTTTCACTTAGAAAAACATAGCAGAACTGAGCCTGTTTTTTCGTCATATCAATAGTTTTGTAACAAACATTATTAAGTAGGCTAGTTCTCTTTAAAAATTGATGTAGAGCTCTATCATTTAGGTGAGAACTGAAATATTTGTACCTGCAGCCATAGAAAAATGCATAAGCTTTCAGAAAATGTATTATTTTACTGATTTTGATATCTGGTTAATAAGTTTTATTTGCTACAAGTTTTAAGTTTAGCAGGCACTGGCCAGGAAGTTGCCAATCATAACCTGAATCTATGTATCTGCCTTTATATTCCATTTCACTTGCATCTAGGCCTACTGTAAAAATTTAAAAATAGGGAAAGAAAAAAAGGTTAGACAATTAGTGAGATAAAATTTAAGTTGTAGGGCATCCCATTGACTTTATCAACTTTGCCATCGAGACTTCAAATTCTATTTCTTATCTTGTATTAGATCTATATTCGCTTTTAAAAACTGTAAACTTTTGTGCACTGCAGTACACACAAAAATGCAACGTCACTCACATTATCATAGCGGTTTACAAACTCCCCGCAGCGGTTACTTCCCCTGATCAGTACGTAGCAAAGCGTGACGTAACCACTTTGAGGAGTTTGAGCGGTTTAGTATTAGAATTTTAATATTTATAAATGCAGCATTAAATTAATTAAAGCATTTCCTGTATCAAATGGACATAATTAAGGTCATTTTACACGACGGAGCTAGAATTATCTTTTCAAGATTTGTGTAGATCTACCATTTTATTTTAATTCCAGAGCAATGGAGGCGCATGGATATCTGGTACCGTTAAGCATTTCCATCCCCATAGCGACAGTCACGTTTGGGTTACTGTGGTATTGTCAGAAAAAAAATCATGCAAAACCAAACTCAGACAAGGTACACCATGAGTTGAAGAAAAGTCGTTCTCGTATTACAGTAGGCCTAGAGGTAACTTATAACGAAAGAAAAAATGTAGAAATTATAGATTTACTATGGAACGCCATAGCTGCCTCATGATGTTAGGGTAAATCCGTCAAAATTCGGACAAAATTTGGACTCGTTCATTCGATTGCTGATTTTTCACTAACCGTTCAGCCGAGAAAGGCAATGTCGGCTGATATAAAGTTAAAAGCCATCCGATTAGAAGAAACTATAATGAAATCAGCGATATTAACCGAGAAATCCCGGTAATAAACGGTTTTATGATCCTATGTAGATTCGCTAAAATTCGGACAGTGTCGTATAAAGTCGGACACGATGAGGTGAAAATTCGGACAGCATTATTTTAGTTGTTTTAATTCGGACATACATTTGTTTTTTAAAATAAAATGTACATTTTAGATTCCATTGCGTAAAAGAGTTTAAGAAAAAGAATACACACACTTAACTCCATTTAATTCATGAGATTAAAATATATTATTGAGTGAGTTTTCATTCAACACGTACAATTATGTACATGATGATGTAACATTTATATATAATGCATCATTTTACTTGTTTTCCTTTTATTAGTTTTAGCAGCCTTTTTGTTTGCCTTGGTTATTTTTTTTTAATTGAACAATTTTTTCCCGTTGTAGTATTTCGTCACTTGTAAGCAGTGTATGACTTGTTTTTTTGACCGGTCTTTCAGTTCTATCATGATTTGGTCTTGATTCAAGTTTAGGGGGCATAAAGGCACTTTCAATGAGATCTGACGTGCTGGGATTGTTAGAACAATCAATTTCCATCAAACTTATATCATTTGTGTCATTTTCATGAAAAGGTTGTGGTTCAACAAAAAGATCGCCGGAGGTTATAAGTTCTAGTAGCTGTGCAGGATCACTTAAGTCTAACACAGGAAGCGCCATTTCTTCGACAGAGTCGCTCGTGATTGCTGTGCTGGAAATATCCACATCTGTTGAAAGTACGGGTTCTGTATATGATAAACCTGTATGCAAAAAGAAATATGTGATTTCAGGTTTGACATGTACCGTTTGAGATCTATTTCTTTACTTTTTCTAATTTCAGCAGAATATCATGAAAATAAGCAGATTGATTAATATTTTATACCTTCTAATGCCACACTGTTATCAGCGGTAGAATAAACTTGGTTGGCTGTGGAATCGCCGATCGGCTCTTCTCTATTTGAAGTATCTAAAAATGTTGAAATAAGATTGAATTGAGCCAGATTTCAATGTAAACAATTACAATATTAAAATAATGTAATAGTCAAAACAGATAAAATATATTTTTAAGATTGGTGTCTGAGTGTTAATTGGTTTTTTTAATCCCTTGAAAGTAAAGTAAAGCTACCCTTATTTTATTCATAAGGCTATTTGATATATTTAATAGCAAAAAGCACGAGTTGTCTGCAAATAAATTGCTTTTAACACTGCTGTTTGAAGGGTTAGGGTTCGAATTTCAGTGTGAACTTAAATATTTAATGAAATTTACACAATAATACAAAATGCTTACTTACTGAATTGAAACTATAACATGTATATCAGGTTAAGAAATATTTTGCATGGACTGTGACTCGGATTTGAATCCATCATATATTGTATAAACATTTTAAGCACTTATAGTTATTCAGTAAAACGGTTACTGAGCCTATCAAGTCTATGTACCAAGAACATTTGACTATCACCTACCGTTTGTAAATGCTACGTCAGTTGGCGAACTCGGTTTGAAGGCAGCAGATGGCACAGCGTCTTTGTTAACAGGACAGATGCCACACGAAGCAAAACCACTTTTGATATTGCTTACGGTTAGTGCGGCATCCCATGCATTACTGAAAAGAGCTGGAAATGACCACTTGTTGACAACATGCAATGGGTGTTCACTCATGAAGTTGGAGCATTGCTCATTATAAGCTTTTTTCAGTGGCCCAAACACCGTTCTGTCAAGTGGTTGAAGATAATGGGTGCAATAGGGAGGCAAAGAGAATAAAGTGATGTTTTCCTCAATTGCTCTTTCAATGATGGCCAACGACTCATTGTGACGAATGACCGTCAAAAATTAAAAGCTGTGGTCGGGTAGGGCCACAGTATTTTAGAAAAACCTCATCAAACCATTTTTCCCCAATGTCATCAGTTATCCATCCTTTGTCCTGGAATGTCCAAACTGTGCCATCAGGAGCGTCGCTGGTCTTGTACCCGTGAATTGACTTGACAGTTTTCCCTTTTGTGATTATAAGCGGAGGCATGGCCGATCCTTCTCCGTTTATACACGCCATAACTGTCAAGTTGCTGGACTTCTGGCTAGTCTTACTCACGACGGATTTGATTCCTTTTTCTGCTACTATCTTGACTGGTGAGTGCTCGAAGTTAAACCCCGTCTCATCACAGTTCCAAATAGTACAATATTGGAACTTGAAGTCAGACACAAGCTTAGCAAGATCTTCAAAGTACTTGCTCACCACTGTCTCGTTTAACATTCGAGCCCTTACAGAACTAAGCCTCTCTGGTTTTCTAACGGCAATTTCTGGGTGGCGCCTTTTGACCCCCTCCCACCAGTCTTTGCCTGCTGTAAAGTTTTGATAATTGGTTTGAATTTTTGTGCGTCTGCAAAGAATGTTAGTCCTTAAGAGAATTTGTTTTCTGCTTAAGCCTACACCCATACGTGCTGCCATTTTAATAGACTGCACAATCTTGTTTTCTATTTCTAGCGGTATTGCTGGAGGACGTCCGTGTGTTACAGGCTTCTTCACATCAAATCTCCCAGAAATACGATCGCCGATCGTACTTCTTGGTATTCCGTACTGTTTTGATGCTTGTCTGATTGATTCACCAGCTTGCACAGCTTCAACGGCCTTTTCCAGATCTTCTAATTTATAATTCATAGTCTTTCCTCGTTTGGTATGTATGTAGGGCATATCTAAAAACCAGAGGATGATGAATGATGATGATGAATGATGATGATAATGATGATGATGATGATGATCATTATTATTATTATTATCACAATGATAATGACAATGATGATACTTATTATGATACAAGACTAGGAGAAAATTAGATTGATATACATTCTGCATATATATTGATATTGTAGTAGTATTTCTAAAGTTTCAAGCAATGCAGAATAAGTATGTTTGGCTCAAAGGGCGCTTGGAAATCCGCTGATCAAATTTAATGTACATAAAGTTTTAGTCTGAAACTGTCTTAGAAAGCTACTTGATGGTTATTTGTTTTTCGTAAATAAATCTTAATGCATGATTATTATATGTGAATAGAACGGGAATTCTTATTTTTCTAATAAGCTTGATTAAAGAAGACAAAGAATGGCATATGGAAGTCTAAATGTAAATATACTATTTCTTAACCCAGTCATTAAATTAAGTAATCACGCACCTTGCAGGTTAACTTATAAATACACAAATGTAATTAGCTACTGGCCTGTGCATACGACGAATTGATATACTTATGAGCAAGCTGATTTTCATATTACATTTTTTTTTACTTATTAAAAACTTAATACTTAATAAATATTGATTACGAAGGCTTTGAACAAAATGCAAATAATTATAATAAGTATAATGCACTAATGTATGCAAGTAAAATGCATTATATATCGTCGCTTTGTGTGTCTCGTGTTTTTGACGAACATTTAATTCAAATAAATATGCATGTGTGCAGGTTACTGTCAGAAATTGCCAGAAGCCAGGTAAACCATATTTATTTTCCTAGTAAAACGTACAGAAGAAAAAAGCCGATATTCAAAACATCACTACTTTATTAGATTTTTCGTTCACTAGGAAACTTTTATCAATATAAAACTCTGTATTTGGCAACGATCACATGCACATATATTAACACAGGTACATGTATACGAAATGTTCAAGTTAAAATATTTTATATGCAGACTTTTCCTCATGAACAAAGTTCAAAAGTTCGTCTTTTTTCCCTTCAGGAAATAAGAATCCAATGCTGACATTTTGCATAGGGCCTGTCCGTCTCCCAAACTTTTCTGGAACACCTTTTGCCCTTAAGTAGCAGTGTGATGCGATAAATGACTTGTCAAACAACTGCCTTACAACCTTTGCGTCCTCTCTGCGGAGATAAGCCACTTTGTGTAACAATTGTTTATCATCAAAAATGGCTATTGCATTACGGTCATGTGGATTTGATTCCGGGGAACAATAATAAACAGGGCCTATTTGTAAGTCTTTTCTTCCCCAATGATGCATGCCGACGGCAAACAGGTCCCGCAAAATTATGTTCTTCATTTTTGTTTTCAGGTCAAGACTGAAATAAATTCATTCAATAAATTTTCTGTCTATGTTCAAGTTTTATCTTCTGTAGGGCTGTATACATAGGGGGCCTAGCTATTAAATTGTTTCTAATTATGTTGAAACGATAGATCTATATAAACTATATTTATTTGTTATTGTATTGCGGAACTTCTCATCATCATTATCATCATTATCATTATTTGCAGAAGCAGCAACTCTTCGTTGATAGGCATAATTGATTTTTTAAAATGTGATATTAACGGCCGTTCTCAGTTAGAATTTACACCCTTAGTTTTTACTTGTCGCCACCGTCTATCCTCATTATTGCAGGTTATTTGCCTGTAAATCTATGCTGGTTTAAGAAGGTAGATGTTACCTTAAATAACACACAATAACTCGCCATTTGATCATGAATAATTGTTTAATAATATTCACCTAAAGTTACGAAAATGACAGGTTCGTGATTGTCGCCGTCCAATTTATAAAAAATAAACGTGTATTTAGATGCTTTAATTGTATTGTTTTAATTTTGTTTCATGCCGTATTATTTTGGAACAATTCACGACTATAAATTTGTAAATTAGATCTCAGTAACAATAACTCATAAAAAATGGTAAGGGGTTAGTGTTTTGTCGCCGGATAGTATGAAATGTTCGTTATCCTTTTAACCATATATTGCAAGTGAAGTGTTTTTATCATTGAAACAACATTACATGTTCATTTTTGTATTAATATCACAATATAATACTTTCATATTATCACCATGTTCATAGTGTGCACAATTTTGTTATTATTTATGTAGAATTTAACGTTGTGATGTGGTTTGGGTTAAAATTGAAAGGTTCGTTATCTGATTTTAAGGTTTTATGACTGCAATATGTACTCCCAGCACATGAAATGTTCTAAGTTGCGTAAACATTAGTATATTATGCCAAAAATGAAACATTTTGAAGCTGTATAAACAACATTATTGAATCTGAAATATGCTGAGAAAAGGTTCGTGATGAAAGGTTCGTGCGGTGATATATTTTACTCGATGCCGCATACACTATATTTGTTTGTAAACGGCTGCGGTTAACAAACATATGTACTATAAAGTCATTTTGAGTTCTTTCTATAATGGTTGCTTATTATTCGCAGCGCATGTTATAAACATGATCGAAATTCCCATCAAAATCCTTTGGCAAGTGATATTGATACTTTTCATGATTATTAAATTTCAAGAAAATTTTCTATTGCCTACTGAATCACAAACGATGTTGTTTTCAAATGAAATAAGCGAATTTATACTTGTATGATGTTAATCAAAACCATGTCGGATTACAAACAAGGAAAGGTTCGCGACCATTTGTCACGAACCTTTCCTATCATAATTTATATGAATAAAATAATATATCTTATCCTGTAATGTATATAATATTATTTAAGAAAAATCTTGTGAGTATATCTTATTTATACAGAAAAAGAACATCAAAAGAATGTCTGATTTTTACAAGACGTTACAACTGAAAAATATTTATGTAAAAAATAAACCTCGTACTCGCCTGAAAGGCTTGTTTTTATAAAAAAAAAACAAATAAACATTATATTTTTGTGATTGTAAATTCAAAATATGAAGTGAATTTAAAACAATTATATAAAGATAAATTATCATGATGAGGGAAACATGATAAAATAAACATTTAACTCAATGAAAGGTTCGTTGTATTGGGCCACGAACCTTTCAATTAAAAAATCCCGTCTTTTTCAAGCTAGACGAATGTATCTTTGGAATTACTTTTAGTGCAGACAATTATGCTGAAATCTAAACCTGAAAACATGCGGCAATTCAGTAAATTAATAAAACAAGAAGATTCGAAAAAAATATCAAGAATATATTATTACAAGCATGAAAAAATTCGTTGCTTCTTCAATGTAGTGAAATTGTGATTAATCTTTTGAAAACTAATATTTGCGTGACATATTGCAATGTCCAGTAGGCGAAGAAAAGATATGGCTGAACCCAAGGACACACCCTAAAAGGCTATGAAGCCAAGAGAAACAAGATATTCGCTGAGGTCATTTAAATAATTGGGAGGTGACAACATTGAATTGGTCAATTCTTTGTTTGCTGCAAAAAAGCAGTTTCAGCCAATAACGGACATATCATTAGCGAAATTGACTCTGATCCTATAATTTGATATGCTTGCGTTATATAGCTAGTATTTTATACTAGCTGAATGTTTCTCTTTGCAAAAAGCTTATGTTTATTTGTTTTTAAAGTAGAATCTAGTATTATTACGATATTGATACGTTTTCATTGGATTGAATTAGTTGTTATAGATTTCAAAAAACATTTATAAATTGTTTTACTACAGATGCCATATCAATTTAATATCTTTTTTGAGAAATGAAAAGATTACTATAGCTATCATTAGGTAATGAATATAATTGTATTCGAATGTCTAAATCCGAACTTTATATCTGAATATAAATGTATCTATATTAGCATCAAAATTTTGATTTGACAATGAAAGGTTCGTTATTTTATATACCATATCTGAATTGAAAAAGTTAGTGAATTTATGATTAAATTCTTAGCACCAGCAATGTATTTGATCTGGTAAACTGTTCTTGATACATGTTTATCTTTTAATTAAGGAGTTGTTGTTTCAATTGTTTTAGACTGATATGCTGTATTGCTATGTCTTTAGTTACTATCATGTTGCATTAGATACTATTCGATGCTTTAATATACTACAAATTGTGAACCAGTATACTATAAAGTCAAGAAAGATAATGGGTTTATACTAAATATCATTGTCTGATGTCTATATGTATGCTTTGGGGTATTAAGTGGGCTTCTTTTTTGTTTGCGTTTATGGTTGAAAGGTTCGTTAGCTTTACATAGTACTTAAATTTTAGCAAGGTGATCATTTACCTAATAATAAAGCATATACATCGCATACAATTGCAAGCAGTGATACAACGGTTTTTATTTATGCCAAGAACTATACTAATTACACTGGGTCGTAGCTTTTATAATAATGAGACAAATCGTAATCACAGTTGAGCAGTATATCTTGATTTGCACTTTTTGCATATGGGTTTTTAAAAAAGTATATAAGCTTAATTAGGCAAGTAATTCGTGATATCAATTGTACAATTAGAAATCTATGTATCATGTGATATTTAAAAGTAAAGTCCAATAAGATATCATCAATGCAATTATAAGCAGCCCTTTTTAAAGTAAAAGGTACTTTGTCACGAACATTTCCGGCATTTTAAAAAGGTAAAATGGATACACTTTTCAAACCGCCGATTTACAAAATCTACTTATATGATGTTGAAAAAAATTTCAGTAGAACTTCACAGATGGTTTTAGTTTGTAAAAAGACTAACAGTTTTGCGTTTTTGCTAATCTGCATTTTTTATCAAATTTTGACAGGGGTGTAAATTCTAACTGAGAATGGCCGTTAAATCTAAAAAATAAAATAAATCTTAATTTTCTTAAAGATACGAACGGTTTAAATGTCATATCTTAGAAAAAATACAGAGCTAGCCAACGGTAGAAATAATTAAATGACTTTTACTATATTATTTGATCAACGGTATATTTAATAGAATCCAGGCCTTAATAGAGCCTGTTCGTCAAATCAT